AGGTGATGTCGAGGAAGGGACGCTTGCTGGTACTTGTCTTTCTTGTCTGATGACTGCTAATGCTCGTGTTCTCTCTGCTGCAGGTATGGTGTTGGAGTACCAGAATCCATCGGGGTTGAAGTCGGGGTCAAGATCTGGCGGGTGTGTCCAGGCGGCGAACGACACGATTCCGTCGTTGTCGGCAGTACCGCGGTCGGGGACGAAGTCCAACACGAAGACGCCGGACTTCAGGAGAGCACGACCGATGAAGAGACCGCCCTTCCCGTGGTAAAGGCGAAACTCGTTGGAGTAGGAGTCGCACTCCAGGTGAAATCCTTTTGCCATTAGCTGGCTGACGCTTAGCCGATTGTATCCCAAGTTGTCGACGATTAGAACCTTGTTGAGTTGCAGGATGACATTTGTTTCCATGGACTGTAACTGAACGACTCCTTGTCTGTTTGTTTTCAGGTTCTCGTTGTTGGCGACGGTGATGATGACGTCGCGGTTGAGGCGTCGCTCTCGTTGCACGAAGCGTCCGGAAGAACACATGTGTTGACCGTAGCAGCTGTCCAAGAACCAGGTGTTTCGCCCGGTGGGTTCGGCGTTGGCGACCGCAGCGTATGTCGGGTTGACCTGAAGTCCTTGTGAGCGCGGCGGCGGGAATTCTTCTTCGTCTGGCGCGTAAGTGGGTGGTGATCCGGGTGCGCAGTTGTCGATGTGTATCATGCAGTTAATGATGTTTGGTGTCCCTTGTGCAGATATAGAAGAGCGCCTTGGAGGGCTTTCTTGAGTGGAGGCGACTTGTGGGTCTACTGGACCATAAACACGAGGACGTGTGCAGTTGACATTGGAATGTCCGGAAGTCTGACAGTTGTGGCAGAACGGCGGCACGAAGGTGAGTCCTCTGTTGTCGCGTTGATCTTGCTTGCCATGTCGATTGTATTTGTTGTCGTTCCTTCGTTGAGTGTAGAAAACTAACTGCTGCTGCTTTCTTGGTTGTCTTTCTTTGAATAGGTCCATCTCCTGTTGTTCAGCATGAAGCTCGGCGCAGAGGTGCATCTCCGAGATCCTTCCGCGGGCGCGAAGAAGCGAGCGTGTGGTTCTCCATTCTGGTCCGAGCCCCCCGAGGACAAGCGTCACGAAGCTTTCTTCAGTGATTGTTCCTCCGCACCGAAGCAGGCGGTCGCGGAGGGTCTGGCAGCGACTCATATACTGCATCGCCTTTTCCCCGGTCTTCATCTGTATTGTTGTCAGCTGTTGCATGAGTCGGCTTTGTGTCACGCTATCGTTTGCTTGATAGAGACACTTGAGATGATGCCATGCGAGTTCCGCGGAGTTTCCATAGCTCCGATATGTTCTGATGCTCTGCTGTTCTTGTGGTGACAGGTTCCGCAGGAAAACTGTGTACGCCAGCAGCGACTGATAAGTAAATATTTCTTGCTCCTTTGCAGTGCCGTTGCTTGGAAATGGCAGGGACCCGTTGAAGTATCCCAAGAGATGCGCAGCCTCCATCAGCAGCTCGAACTCAAAGCTCCAGGTAAAGAAGTCGTGTCCGTTGAACGGTGAGGATGTTTGTAACTTGATTACGTGTGAAAACTGCGCCTGGAGACTCAAAATCTCGTTTGGTGTCTGTTGTGATGCGTCTGCTGTTGGTTGGGCACGGGGCGGCATGAACTCGAATGTCCCCGGTGAAGAGTGATAAGGCGCAAAGGTAGGCGCTTGGTTGTGTCGCCCGAATGATGAATTGTCCAGGCTCATCGGCGCTAATCCCATGTTTCCTCCATTGCTCTGTGTTGAATGCGCAGGTGTCCTTGTCTGCTGCTGCTGGTCAAAGTGCGACATGAAGCTGAAGAACCTTTCCATAAGGTTCGGGTCCACGCTTGAAGAGGGTGATGGGGTCACCATTTCCGGTGCTCTTCCTGTTGTTTCTTGAGCAGTGCCGGTCTCGGTTTGCAGTCCTGAAGTGTGCAATCCAGAGTTGCCGGGTTGAGTGTCTTGGGCGCTGGGTGAGCCCGTAGAGATTTTCTTGCCCTTTCTGTCCATGACTTGTAATCAATGAAGTCGTTGAATTGCAGATTGTAGATAGAGCGTAGTTGCTGGGAGTTTGGTCTCTGACCAGCTCTCATACCATGTTGGGCTGAGAAATGCCCTTAGGATCTTTCCAGAGACTAAGTCCCAGTTGTAAAGACTTGAGTAGTGCAGCGGAAGTTGAGATAGTTGAACCCTTGTACTAGTATATGAGAACAAGTGATTGATTAAAGAAACAAGCATACAGCAATATATAGAAAATAGGAAAGTAAAGCAGTTGTAGAATACAGTTGCAGGAGCGGTTATCGAGTCGCACAGCGACTCGATTGTCGCTTCGGTTACCATCCGCGCTGTTGTAACGGTCAGTCGCAACCTCCAGTTGCGACCCTTCAAGTCCCTTCGCGTTCTTTGTCCATCCCCTCGTGTAAACTCCGTTGACTCGCGTACCCGTTGCGATCTTCCTCGAGTGTAGTGTTACACTTCAGAAACGCTTAAGTTCTTTGAGATATTTCCAACAGTTGGCAGGGTTGTCGTGCCACAACTACATGGGCGTGTACTCATATTCTTGACTTCTAACAGTCAGCCCTGAATCACCAAGCACGTTTAGTTATAGAAAGCCAGGTTCAAGAATATGACCTTTTTGATTACACTACTACTGCTTTATCACTCTCAAGCTTTACTGTGGTATTACAGTTCCTAAATCGACCCCCTCCCTATCTCCAACCTTCTGCCGTGTAGCCTTGGTCATACAACACTGTTACCCAATCAAACTCGACATGCCTCATTTTCACCCAGCTCGCCATTGCCCACTGCTGCAAGGACAGCAAGGGAGATGTGGGGAGAGCATGGGATGAGGGGACAGCGAGAGAGGTGTGGGGAGTGCAAGGGAGATTGGGGGAGAGCATGGGATGAGGGGAGAGCATGGCAGATGGGGGAAGAGCATGGCAGATGGGGGGAGAGCATGGCAGATGGGGGGAGAGCATGGCAGATGGGGGGAGAGCATGGTAGATGGGGGGAGAGCATGGCAGATGGGAGGAGAGCATGACAGATGGCGGGAGAGCATGGCAGATGGGGGGAGAGCATGGCAGATGGGGGGAGAGCATGGCAGATGGGGGGAGAGCATGGCAGATGGGAGGAGAGCATGGCAGATGGGGGGAGAGCATGGCAGATGGGGGGAGAGCATGGCAGATGGGGGGAGAGCATGGCAGATGGGAGGAGAGCATGGCAGATGGGAGGAGAGCATGGCAGATGGGGGGAGAGCATGGCAGATGGGGGGAGAGCATGGCAGATGGGAGGAGGGCATGGCAGATGGGGGGAGAGCATGGCAGATGGGGGGAGGGCATGACAGATGGGGGGAGAGCATGGCAGATGGGGGGAGAGCATGGCAGATGAGGGGAGGGCATGGCAGATGGGGGGAGAGCATGACAGATGGGGGGAGAGCATGGCAGATGGGGGGAGAGCATGGTAGATGGGGGGAGAGCATGGCAGATGGAAGGAGAGCATGGCAGATGGGGGGAGAGCATGGCAGATGGGGGGAGAGCATGGCAGATGGGGGAAGAGCATGGCAGATGGGGGGAGGGCATGGCAGATGGGGGGAGGGCATGGCAGATGGGGGGAGAGCATGACAGATGGGGGGAGAGCATGGCAGATGGGGGGAGGGCATGGCAGATGGGGGGAGGGCATGGCAGATGGGGGAAGAGCATGGCAGATGGGGGGAGGGCATGGCAAATGGGGGGAGAGCATGGCAGATGGGGGGAGAGCATGGCAGATGGGGGGAGAGCATGGCAGATGGGGGGAGAGCATGGCAGATGGGGGAAGAGCATGGCAGATGGGGGGAGGGCAAGATAGATGGGGGAGAGCATGGCAGATGGGGGAAGAGCATGGCAGATGGGGGGAGAGCATGGCAGATGGGGGAAGAGCATGGCAGATGGGGGGAGGGAGTGGGGGGAATGAGGGAAGGGAGTGGGGAGGATGAAGGAAGGGAGTGGGGGGAATGAGTGAGAGGCGATGCTGCAGGAGATGGCAAATCTCCTCCTCCCACTCACTCTCTCTCCTCTCCCGCTTCTCTCCCCACCGGCATCTCTCTCTCGCCCGTACCTTGGCGGCCGTCTGAGCGAGGCTTGTTTTCCCGCATTCTCCCGCCTCCGTGCTGCCTTGTCGTATTTCTTTTGCAGAGGTGGCTGCTGCATTGCAAAAAAAGCGTGCTCGCAAAACGATTGCGTAGCATTCGTGCGAATGCTTTGCAAACGTTTTGCGAACATGTGGGTGAAAATACCCGGCGGATTTAGATTAGAACACTTGGCGAATGCTTTGACAACATTTCCCGAAACACTTTTTGGTTAACGACAGCGAATGCTTAGCGGTGTCTTTTCGGTAATCTCCGTGGTTCGTTTACAAATGCATGGCGATGTTATTTTTACAACTTCTGAAGTGAACGTGTAAATGCATAGAGAAGTTTATGCTGACGATTTTTAGTATTCAGCATGATTTGTTGCAAACGTTTGGCGGTGTTTTTTATGGATCCGTTTATGTAGGCTGCAGTACCTGTTAGGGCATGCCTCGTTTGGATTTACTTACAATAAAACAAGCAAATGATTTGATATATTAAAAAAACATCTACATCACAGTACACAACCACTATGGCCCAACCGCCCTTGCCTGCCAGCACCCCTATGTGGGTCCCACTAATAACCAGCTTCCGAATAGCCTACTAACCCCCATCTCCAAAGCAGATGCTGATGCGCCATTTCTGGTAGGGCCACTACTGTGCCCTCAACCCACATGCCGCTAGGCCTGCCTACTCCCTGTTGTGTGATGTCATCATATGCTATCACATTCTGTCTGCCTCCCATCCCTTGTTTCAATTCGCATGTATGGTTTGACTATGTGTGAAAGAATTTGTGTGGTGTGTTCTGGAGTTTGGGAATGTGTTTTGTGTTATTTTTGTTTGAGCAGGTATTTGTGATGATAGATCTTGAGAAGACCTTTCCGACGCAACAAGAATCGCTTCAATCGGAGCAAGAACGAGAAAGCTATGAAGATTCAAAGTTCATGAGCTTGCGTTACAATTGCGGCGGTTACAAAGTGAAGTTGTGGGGTGACTCTATATGGAGTTGGGACCTTTGGGGTTGGGGAAATTCGTCACTCTACTGTAACAGCTGCAAATTGGTTGGGAACAACCAAGCTAGGTTGGCAAGGGTGGCCAACTTGGATGGATTGGTTGGGAAGGGACAAAGGTCAAAGTTGAGGTTCCTATAGGGAGGGAATCTTTGTGCTTATGGGGTTTCCTTGGTTGGGGACTCTCTTGGGACCTTCCCTCTCATCCCTCTCTTCCCTTCCAGCCTTTCTCTTGCTCCTCTAATTCCTTGTGAGATTCTTGAACCTTGATTGAATTTGATATTGAGTTAAGTTCCTCTCCTAGAGCTTACCCCTCCATGTGTCGCAAGACATAGCGTCGTGAATACTTCATCAATCAACGTGATTCAAATTGGGAACGGTAGCTAAGATTACAAGCTACAATATATTCGAGTTTCGAGATATTCCAACGGCTAGTGTTTTGTTGACGAGGTTTCTTGTGGAGACGAGTTTTCTGTCTAGAATTTCGGATTTATATTTTGAGTAATTCTAGCTCCTAAGTTCACCTAGACTCCGTCCTTAATCCTAACAAGTGGTATCAGAGTGATATTAAGGATATTGAGAGGAGTCTACAGAAGTATGAAGACCCTTCTAGACCCACCATGGCCTGTGGGTGTGCCTAAGTGGTGTTCTAAAGGTTGGATGTGTCTTCCGCTAAGGGGAAACTCTGCCGAAATTTCGTGGACGCCGACACTTGTGAAAATATCGAGGGAGCTGAGTGTGGACAGCAAAGGGGAGCTGAAATTCGTCATTTCTCAAGGAGAAGATGAATGAGAGAGGAGGAGATGCTAATGGAAGAGGAGCTGTAGCTGAGAAGACAAGTGAGCCGCCGCCATCAAAAGTTGAAGCTTTGGATGGCTCCAACTATGATGAATGGAGCGGACGGATGAGGAGTGCCTTCAAACGCTACAAGCTACTGAAGATTGCTGTTGGGGAAGAGAACATGCCGGAAGAAGGCGAAGCACGCGAACGGTGGATTGAGAAAAGCGCGGTGCTTTTCGACCTCATCCTTCAATCGGTCAACAAGGAGATGTTCGAGCACATCAAGGATCTTGTGGAAGCGGATGATTCGGGTCCAAGGGCGTGGAAACTACTACGCGATGTGATTCAGCCCAACACTCTCCCGATGGTGATCGTGCTCGAGAAGGAACTTGCTGCCATCTCCATGCGAGCAGGGGACGATGTGAAGCCGGTCCTTGACAAGATCAAGGACACCTATGCAAGGATGGCAGCAGCGGGCAGCATTGTATCTCAGCTGCAGCAGTGCACCAAGATCATCTCGGTGTTGGACAACTCTTAGGACAACCTCATCCCCACCCTCAACTCTCAGCAAGATCAATGGACACCTGAGTGGCTAAGGCAGCAGATTCTGCAGGAGGACTTCCGCAGACGCCATGTGGGAGGCGGTGCTGCCACTAAGACTGCTGAGGGGTATGGAGCTGCAGGGCGCGGCAGAGGAAGAGGGGGTTGGAGAGGCCGAGGCCGTGGGAGGAGCTTTGGCAGATGTAGAGGCCGAGGTGACTATAATGAGGGGCATGGGAGCTCTAGTGGCAGGGGGAGTACCAGAATGGAGGGCACCTGCTGGTACTGCAAGAAGGTCGAGCAACCTTGGTTCAAGTGCTTCGGCAGGCCGGAGGGATGGGCACCTCCAGGCATGAAGCCGCCCAGTGGTGAACGCGCACAAGGTGGCGCTGTGCAAGGCTCAGGTGCACAAGGTGAAGGTGTACAAGGTAATGCCTATCCTGGGATGTTTCTCATGGTTGAGGATGTGCATGGGCATGAGGGTGATGTGGGATCTGTGGGAAAGGTTGTGATGCACCCTCTCACGCACTGGGTGATTGATTCAGGTTGCACCAGTCACATGACCCCACGGGCAGATTTGCTTGATGAGGTAAAACCCCCTGGGAAGATTAAATATGTGGCAGCAGCGTCAGGTGCTTTGCTCCCTGTCATTGGTGTTGGGAATGCCAAGATTAAGGGAGCTAATGGGGAGCTTGTGGGGCTTGGGAATGTTCTGCTGGTTGAAGGTCTGTCTGCTAACCTTCTCTCTGTGCGGCGACTGCAGAAGAGCAAGGCCGAAGTGACCTTTGGACCAACCAGCTGCCGTGCTAAGCTTGGGAAGAAGGTGCTGTGGAGTCTGGAAGAGGAGACCAGCTGCATCAAGGACTTGTGGCAGCTGCCCATCATCTCTTGGAATGGGAAGACTCCAACAGCAGCAACGGCAGCAGCGGCAAAGGCAACTGCAGGAGGAGATGCAACTGCACCAACTGTTGGGGTCCTGGAAGCAGTCAAGAAAGTGCAGCAGCAGCAGACACATGGGGAGGTGCTTGCTGGTGTGGAAACAAGCGCGGCATGGGCTAAAGCTTCATCTAGGAGTGGTGAGGCCGATTGGGAGACATGGCATGAGAGGCTGTATCATGTGAACTTCCCTATGCTGCAGAAGTTGGTGAATGATGGGAGCCTGAAGGGCTTGGAGGTGAAAGGGGGAGTGAAGGAGATTGGGAGCTGCCCTACATGCTTGGAGACCAAGTTCTCCAAGTTCCCCTTCAACAGCACTACAGGACCAGCCAAGACCCCACTTGCACTTGTGCACATGGATGTGGTGGGGCCCACAAGAGCCCCTTCCCTCTCAGGCAGCCGCTATTTCTTGACAATTGTTGATGACCACACTCGGGCAGTGTGGGTTTACCCTCTCAAGAGCAAAGGGGAGGTGGCAGCGGCTGTCCTTAAGGAGTGGATGCCTAGAGCTCAGAGGGAATGCGGACACAAGGTGAAGGTGATCCACAGTGACAATGGTGGGGAGTTCATTGGAGCTGATTTTGAGGTGGAGTTGAAGAGGAAGGGGATCCAACATCAACTGACAGTGCCCTATAACCCGCAGCAAAATGGCGTGGCTGAGAGGTTCAACAGGACCCTGCAGGAGGGGGCACGCACTCTCCTTGGGCGTGCAGGGCTGCCTGATCCGTTTTGGGTGTCTGCACTAAGGCAGGTCGCCCTTGTGAAGAACAGGGTGCTGGCTACAGTTGGGGATAAGGAGTGGATCCCATATTTCAAGTGGTATGGGAGTGCTCCAGCTGTGAGCATGCTGAGGGCATTTGGGTGCATGGTGGTGTTTCATGTGCCTAAGGAGAAAAGGGGCAAGTTGGAGGCTTCTGGAAGATGGGGTGTGCACTTGGGGATTGCAAAGGATCACAAGGGGTGGCTGCTATGGGACTTGACCACCCAGAAGTTGACAGTGTCAAGGGATGTGAAGTTTCTTGAGTCCCTGTACTTCAAGGAATGGAAGCAGCAGCAACAGAAGCTTCCATCTACACCACTCATTGTGGAGGCAGATGAGTTGCAGCAGCCTTCAAGGCAGGTGGAGGTTGTAGTGTCTGAGGAGGAGATGTCTGGGGTGACTGAAGAAGGGGGAGCAGCTGAAGTGGAGCAGCAGCAGCAGCAATATGAGTCTCCACCTCGAGTTCCACACCTGCCTGAGCAACCTAGGAGGGATGTGCGCCCTCCTGTGAGGCTGACCTATGGGGGAAGAGGCAAGCCGAATGTGGTGCAGGCTGGGAGTGTGGTTGAGCAGATTGAGGAAGATGAGATCGCTCACTGCTACTGGGCACCAATCCCTGAGCCCAAAACTCGAGAGGAGGCCTTGAATGGACCAAATGAGGAGAAGTGGAAGGCGAGTGAGGATGAGGAGTTCGGGTCCCTGATTGAGAACGAGACATGGGACCTGTGTGACTTGCCTCCTGGGAAGAAGGCAATCACTTCCAAGATGATCTACAGGCACAAGTATGGACCTGAAGGGGAGCTGACCCGCTACAAGTCTAGGCTTGTGGCACGGGGGTTTCAGCAGACAAAGGGGAAGGACTATGATGAGGTGTTTGCTCCTGTGGGGAAAGGAACAACAGTGAGGGTGCTGTTGGCGATAGCTGCACTCCTGGGATGGAAGATTCGGCAGATGGACATTGTGACTGCCTTTCTGAATGGGATCATTATGGAGGAGGTGTACATGAAGCAGCCAGAGGGGCTGGATGATGGGAGCGGCAGGGTCTGCAGGCTGAAGAAGGCCATCTATGGCCTTAAGCAGGCGCCTCGTGCATGGTATCACAAGTTGGAGGAGGCGCTGTTGGCTGGGGGTTTCAAGAAGAGTGAGTGTGACCCCAGCCTGTTCCTGCTGCAGGAGAAGGATGAAATCCTCATGCTCTTGGTGTACGTGGATGATATCCTTCTCTTTTCTGCATCAACTGCTTTGCTGGACAGCGCAGAGCAGATGCTGGGGATGCAGTTCAAGTGCTCCAAGATGGGTGAGGTGAAGTACTACTTGGGGATGCACGTGGAGAGAGATGTGGAAAAGGGTGTGCTGAGGTTGCACCAGAGGAAGTACTGTGAGGGGCTGGCTGAGAAGAATGGGCTACAAGATGGGGGAAAGCCAGCAATACCACTACCTTCAGGGTTTACTGTGGAGCCATGTGCTGATGAGGAGGTAGTGGGTGAGAGTGACAGGAAGCTGTTTCATTCGATGGTTGGGTCGCTGAACTATGCTGCAATTCATACACGGCCTGACATTGCATTTGCTACATCACGGTTGGCTAGTGTGGTCTCACGCCCTAGTCATGAGCAGCTGGAAGCGGCCAAGAGGTTGGTCCACTATGTGAGCGCTACGGCATCAGTGGGAGTGGAGTACAGTGGAGTGAGGCAGCGGTTGCAGAGAGGTGCTGCAGATGTGAAGAGTGGAGAGATGCTCTTGAGTTGCTATACTGATGCTAGCTTCAACTCAGTGAAAGCGGATGGCACCAGCATTGGGGGTTATGTGTGCTTGCTAGGAGGTGGTGCTGTAAGCTGGCGCAGCAAGAAGCAGAATGAGGTGGGATTGTCCTCGTGTGAGACAGAGTACATGGCCTTACACCATGGGGCCAAGGAAGTGGTGTGGCTAAGACGCTTGTTGGAGGAGTTGGGAGTTGGTCAGAAGGAGCCAACGGTGATCTTTTGTGACAATGAGTCTGCTGTGAAGCTCGCCAAGAATGCTTGTCTGCATGGGCTGACAAAACACATAAGGCCTAAGTGGCACTGGGTGAGGAGACTCCTTGATAAGGATGTGCGGCTGGAGATAGTGAAGACCCATCAGCAGGCAGCAGATATTTTCACTAAGCGTCTTGCGGAGGCGGATCATTGGAAGGGCATGAAGCTTGCTGGGATGAGTGTGCATTGAGTATGCATGCTTGAGATGTTGGTATGGTGGATGATGGTTGGCAGCCAGAGGGGGAGATTGTTGTGTGATGTAATCATATGCTATCACATTCTGTCTGCCTCCCATCCCTTGTTTCAATTCGCATGTATGGTTTGACTATGTGTGAAAGAATTTGTGTGGTGTGTTCTGGAGTTTGGGAATGTGTTTTGTGTTATTTTTGTTTGAGCAGGTATTTGTGATGATAGATCTTGAGAAGATCTTTCCGACGCAACAAGAATCCCTTCAATCGGAGCAAGAACGAGAAAGCTATGAAGATTCAAAGTTCATGAGCTTGCGTTACAATTGCGGCGGTTACAAAGTGAAGTTGTGGGGTGACTCTATATGGAGTTGGGACCTTTGGGGTTGGGGAAATTCGTCACTCTACTGTAACAGCTGCAAATTGGTTGGGAACAACCAAACTAGGTTGGCAAGGGTGGCCAACTTGGATGGATTGGTTGGGAAGGGACAAAGGTCAAAGTTGAGGTTCCTATAGGGAGGGAATCTTTGTGCTTATGGGGTTTCCTTGGTTGGGGACTCTCTTGGGACCTTCCCTCTCATCCTTCTCTTCTATCCCAACCTTTCTCTTGCTCCTCTAATTCCTTATGAGATTCTTGAACTTTGATTGAACTTTTGAGATTGAGTTAAGTTCTCCTCCTACAGCTTACCCCCTAATGCGTCGAAAGCCATAGCATCGCAAATACTTCATCAATCAACGTGATTCAAATTGGGAACGGTAGCTGAGATTAAGAGCTACAGTATATCAGAGGTTCGCGACATTCCAACGGCTAGGGTTTTGTCGACGTCGTTTCTTGTGAAGACGACTTTTCTGTCCAGAATTTTGGATTTATATTTTGAGTAATTCTAGCTCCTAAGTTCACCTAGACTCCGTCCTTAATCCTAACACTCCCGCCGCTGTTGATTGCCCGCCATCTCCCATGATGGCTGCCCATGTCACCTTCTACTGCTACTACACTCACACCCTCTCTGCTGCCTCCCATGTCTCTGCCTGTCCCTGCCTACTGCTGTCGCGTTCGCCCATGCTGCTGCAAAGATCCACCGTAGAGCCCCGCCTGAACCTGCCCCCCTTAAAACCTTCAAGTACATAATTCCTGCCCTCTGCCCGTAAAGCCACATGCACCTGCTATGGCCCAACCTATCCAACTGCGTCACGTCCTGCTGCTGCTGCACTCTCACCCAATCTGCCTTCTGATGCTGCTGTGCGACTTAACTGCTTCGGCTTCAAGAACTACCCCGGCCAGGACCACTGGCCGCTGGCGCCCTTGCTGCTCCGATCCAGACCCACTGTCTCCGTGTCACCACCGCTCAGCCTTTTGCCCCCTGCTCCTCCACCTTACCCCTGGTCGCGTCCTTGCCATCCGTTTTCCTGCCAGTCTTCCCTTTCTTGTCCTTCCACTCCTCCTCGAACCCACTCGCATGGATGTACAGGCCGTGCTCCCCCCACATGAACCCCTTCATATCCCTGTTGTACTCTCTTGGGTGCTCGTCAAACCACTCAATCACCACCTGGCGCACGAGCTTGCGAACGGCCTCGACCCATGCCTTGTTCTTGGGGTGGGAGTTGGATAGGACCATTGTCCGAGTCTTGACGCGCGCCAGCCCGTAGTCGACCTGTCATGGGCGGGGGGTTGGGAAGGGGGAAGGGGGGGGGGGGGGGGGGGGGGGGTATATATAAGGGCAAACAATGTGATCACCAGCGGCAAACGTTCCATCAAGCACCCCATCAAGGCCCATCCCACAGCCAGAACTCACCACCATGAGGATCCAGGCAACGTGGTACGCCTTCAAGCACAGCTTTGCGCACTGTCACCACTGCCCAAACCCCTCCACAACCGCGTCGAAGAAGGGCACGTTGGCAAAGGGCTGGCCGCTCTCCTCACCCTCGAGTGACTTGGCGTTGCCCCACGTGCTAACCACTTGGCCGAGCTCCTCATCTGGGGGGGGTTACAAGAGGGTAGCATACGCGGGAGTGGGGTTGGGGACGTTTCCAAGGGGCCGTGCACACCATGGTTATAAGAGGCATGCATGGGCTGAAACAGCAAGTCACGTCACTCACCGGGCATCCAGGCCCCCCACAATTTCCTCTTGACCTTCAGGTGAAGGAGGATCTTGCAGGCGCAGGAGTACGAGGCGTTTGATGGCAAAGGCGCGCTTGTTCTTCCAGACGGTCCATACGCGTTTGAACGGCTTGTTGTAGTTCTCGTTGTTGAGTGACTCCAGGATCTCCACAAGAGTCACGTCGTAGCCCAGTGACACTAGGCTGTGATGAAGCACGCGGCAATGGGTCTTGTGGTTTTCGTAGAAATTGATGACCGTGTCCGGGTTGTGGATGCATATTTCGTCCCGCATCGCCTCATAGTGGATCTGTAATGGAGGGTGGGAAGGGCCAAGAGGGAGAAGAGTGGGTGTGGGGTGGGGTAGAAAAGGGGGGTGTAGGGGAGGGGTCAAGGAGGGGCAGAAAAGGGGACAGTTGTGTGCAAGCCCCCCCACCACATCTAAGGCCATGGGCGAGCGTGCAGCAAAAGCCCTGAAGACATGGGAGGGATGCCGACATGTGGTGGGGACTTGAGGGTGACGTCGGCTGAGGGGTAGCGGGGCGGGGGGTGGGGGGGAGGGAAGGGGAATGCTACCGAGTTTTAAAATCGCCTAGGGATCGTCGGAACTTAGGGTCCAGTGGGGGTTCGAGAAATAACTCTCGGGTGGAGCGGTGAACGAAGGACGGAGACAAACAGACACTGACGGGGGTTTGGGAACGCGGTGGAATGGGGGGCTGGCGAACACGTGTGGCGGTGGCTGGGGTGTGGACGGAGGGCTGGCAGGAGTCGGAACGAAGAGTCACAGCCACGGGTTTAGGCATTAGGCTGGTGACGAAGCACCGGGCAGCAACCGAGACGTGGTGTGCGCTGAGGGATCTGGTGGCTTGGCGGGCGGGTAGAGCGGGCGAGGAGGTGGGGCGGGGGGGGGGGCGGGGAAAGGTGGAGACGGAATTTAGGGTGGGCTGGCAGTGGGAGGGTGGGGTTGGGATCCAAGTGGGGGACTTGTCTAAAAATGTATAACGGCATCACACACATGACTCACCAGGATGTTGCTCACGGAGGGCATGCCACGATGCCTCGTCCGGGGGCGGTTCCCCCCCACGCTCTCTCCGACCGCCTCGTCGTGGTCACTAGACGCCGACGCCAAGCGGGGAAGGTGCTGCCCCCGCGCCCTCTCCAGCTGCAGAATCTCGATAGCCGCCTCGTGCAGAAGCCCGAACATGCGGGCGGCGGACAAGTCGTGCGGCACCTCCTCCATGCGGGCCAGGGACTCCCAATTGAAACCTCCAGTGTTAATCTCGCCCCCAAGCATCCGTCTCCGTTTTGCCTCCACGTCGGCATGAACCCCCACAGCGTCGTTCGCGGGTCGCTTCTGGCCAGCAGCATCCACTCCTTGGTCGGGGCCGCTCGCTCCACCCTCCCATCCCCACTCACCCATTGCCAAGGCCCACATCCCGCCAGGTGCGGCTTGTGCTCGGCCCTCTGCTCGTCGCGGCGGCATGCCCCATACTTGTGCCGCATCCATGCCCCCGCCCCCCCCCTGCCGCTCGTTTGGAGAGCCTCGGGCGTCTAGGGCAGCGGGGGGGAGCGGCGTGAACGGAGCGGCGCCGCCAAGGGTGTTGTCACCATCGCGTAATGTGGTCGGCGTGTTGCGGCCGTTGTCAAACTCCCTGTTTCCGTCAGTAAGCCAAGGCCGCCACACGTGTGCAGGCAGGCGCTGCCTCTTCGGACGTTTGCTCAAACCGCAACTCCCGCCCAGTGGCATAGGCAGACTTCTTTTCTCTTTCAGCACTGCCATCAGCCTCCACCGTAGCCTCCCTCTTCACACCCCTCCTGTCCAGCTCCCTGTCTTCCTCTTCCGCCGACGCCCTGTTGGTTGCATACGCCAGAAACTTGGTGTCCCGGTAATCTGTCTGCGGAATGAGCACCGGACCTTCAGGCGCAGAGCCGCCCTCGAAATCGTCGCTGCCAGCCGGGTACGGAGCGTAAACATGCTTGGCGGGACTGGCCCTAGGCCATCCGCCCTCCCCTCCTCTCCCTTGCTTCCTCATGTCGCCGCGGCCTTGCTTCCCTCGGCTCCGCCCTTTCTTCCTCTTGCCATTATTCCCCCTCCCCTTATCCCTCCCACCCTTGTGCCGCCCGACGCGCCAGTCCCTGCCGCGGTTTTTTTCCGCGCTTGCGGCCGCCGTCATACTCACTCTCGAGCGACTCTGGCTCGCTGCTTTCGGCGCTCTGACCGTCGTAGTTGGACTCTGACGCCAAGGACTTGCCCGAGTCAGAGTCGCTGGAAGAGGACGCCGAGCCTGATTCCTCTGGGGAGTCTTCGCGCTTCTTCTGTTTCTTCTCGCGGTCGCGGCCTCTTTCGCGGTGTTCATGTGATGGGGCAATGGCGTCGCTCTTCGCTCGACGGGTGTCTCCATCGTGACGCTCCCGTTCGCCGTCCTTGTCCTTGTGGGACAGTTTCTGTGGGCTGGTCATGGCGGCCACGGTCGCAGAGGAGGATGCAGCGGTAGCAGAGGAGGATGCAGCGGTAGCAGACAAGGATGCAGCAGTAGCAGAGGAGGATGCAGTGGTAGCAGAGGGGACTACAAAGGCAGCAAAGGTGGTGGCAGCCCCAGAGGCCGGCAACCCTCCCGCGAAGCCGGACGCGAGCACCGCTCCCATTCCTGCAGCTGCTGCACCGACGCGGAACCGCGTCGTGATGAGCGCCGTAATGTCCGTCGATTGTCCACCCGCGACCGCAGCAGGCGTGCCTCCGGCGGTTGAGGACGTGGCGATGGTCGTCGTGGAGTCCCCTGGTAGCGCCATGCCGCCGTCGCACGATGAGTCCCCTCACGGTGAAACTGTCGCAAGCAAGGTGGTGGAGTCGGATCGCGCGAAGCCCTCGCAGGCCACGGCTGCTCCCCCTGTCCTGAAGACTCCTGCTCGTGTGGAAGGCCCCTTTCCTTTGCGGCCCGTTTTTTTTTTTCGTCATTGCCTTGGGCTTCTGGGGGGCCTGCGGCCGTCCATCGTTTCCTGCAGGGCGGCCAGACAAGGCGCAATGTTAGGCAATGGCAAATACGAAGGCACAAAAAAATCGCCAGCTGGCGGGTGGAGCATCAAACACAACTAGGTCACCGGGGGTGCCGACAAGATCACAGATCGGTTTCTTCCGCCGACCCAACCTCTTCACTGGGCTACGAAGCCCGCCCTGAGCGAAGTCCCCGTAAGGTTCCTCCAGGGCCTCATCGTCGCCATCCGGCTCGAAAGAGTTGGCGTCACTTTCCCGCCTGTCGCCCTTCTTCACCGAAAGCTTGTTCGATTTCCGGTATTCACGGACCCCTTCCGCAGTTTCCTCTCTAGTTATCTTCCGTTTTTTCCCCCTCCGTTTACCCCCTGGCATGCACCTAGTCTGAGCCGCTGTCGTAGTCCTTTAGATCTACGCGCTCCTTGCGGCGCCTATCTCCGCGTCTGACTTCGTCGCGTGTCATGGCTACTGGTGGAGGGGAAAATGAACGCACTGACAAGCCCTCTACCAGAGAGTCTACTAATGCGCTAACATGCTGTCAAATTGAAATCTGA